TCAGTTGTTTACTTCCAACAAGCCACAAGAGTTGTGAGAGCAGAATAGAAACGCTGAGGTTCATGAGGTTAATACCTGGTGGGGTTCGTAGCTCGGTGAACAAGGAATAGGTGACGAGGACAAAGACCAGTGCAATAATCGATATYGACATGCACACAAAAGTCAAAAACGACAAGGTTTCGTCGTGGGTTGAAAGTTTTGCAAGAGGATCATCGGTAAAGCAAACAAAGATTTTTTGGTTTTGCCACATGTACTGTGATAGGTCGTACAGAGTGTGTGAAGCGTTCACGTAGATTGATCGGTTGGTCAAGATCGTATACTCATGACTCTCCATCAATCCCCACTTTCCTGAACAATTTTTAGGGACAAAAGAATCAATATCCAGGGATGCCTTGTCGCACACCAAGACAGTGCTATTCTGCAAGATATATTCTGACTTATTATATAATCTATTGGAAGCATGAACAAAAATAGTCCCATTTTTGAAGACTAAAAATTCTCCTTGGTCCAGTAACCGCCATTGGTTTGAGCAGTTGAAGCTGTTTCGGCAGACGTAGATTGCTTGGCTGCCATTGGTTTTCTCGGTTTCATTGATGTAATAGTCTTCGGGATTAAGCACTTCGCCTGTCTTCTTGATGATAACCGCTGAGGTTTTGTTTGAAGACATCGTGTACTCATCTCTGTGGTACTTTTGGGGATTAACGCAGGTCAGGTTATTTCTCTCAATATATGGGATTTTCTCTTTCATCTCACTAAATGGTATCGGGTTTTCTTCAAATGGAAATGAAAACGAAATGGCAATTGTAGAAGACATCGTCTTTCTGCACTGGCTCGTTGTTTTATCGAAGACTTCAGAATTTGAGCACTTCGTCTCTACCCTCTTTTTGGTCTTAGCCAAAATGTTCGTAGAAGGAGCAATGGGTAYATATATACGACTTACGTTTTGTTTTTCAGGTTTTAGAAAGATCATTACTGTTGAAAAAAGAGAGAGAGAAAAGCTGAATAAATAAATTCTGTYATACACTGTCTTGCTGTCGATTTCATTGCCCCTTATGGATATCTTTGTTTTGTGTGCGTGCAGTGCATGGGTGGTTTCAATCTGGCCTTACCCACTTTTTTGCAACTTCCGCCGATTAAGCGCCTCACCCGAATAAGCGCCCCCTTTGATCCAAAATAATGAATAAGCGCCCCATATATGGAGGGGGGGCGCTTATTCGAGGTTACAGATAAGAAAACAGTATAAGTATCAAGAAAACATTGGGAATTTATCTTCAATAAATACAATATTTTTAAGTTTAAAGTGATTATATTTCAGCTGTTCTATAGTTCACTATTAAAAATTTAATATAGTATGCCGATCAGATTCAGATTCGGCGGTGGAGCTTTATAATGGTATATTTAAGATATATAATGGTAAAATTTGATTGAAAGAAAGAGCACCAAGTTTTAAAACATATATAACAATAACGAAATTTTTGTGCGTATTTCGTACTTTTAAATAAGCGCCTTCCTCGAATAAGCGCCTCCYCCGAAAAAGCGCCCCGTCTCAGACTCGAAAAATTAAATAAGCGCCGGGGCGCTTATTCGAGTAATTACAGTACTCTATTTATTGGAAACTAATTAAAAAGCGTTGCTTTGTGGGTGTACATGTATGTGTTCGCTTACCGAATATTTTCTTTACATTTTCCTTGGTCGTATTTCCGTCGCTCCGCGAGCTTATGTTCATCGAATTTGGAAACAAATCGGCTCCATTACCTTGATCTGTTGTTGCGTTCAACTTGTTAAAGGAGGCACTTGTAATGTTTTCTTTTTGCATAGTGTAATTCCCGCTGTTAGCTATAAAGTTTGTCATAAAAGTTTGTCAAAAAAGAAAAACTTAAGTAATTAAATAGTGTTAAATTGTCTTAAAGGCCTACTTGGACGAAAATTGCGAAACATTAGAAAAGACTGAAATCAAATAGACCTATCCATATCGGTCTAATAATCATGGAGCAACAGATTACAAGAAGATATTGATATATCTTAATAATTCAAGCAAAAAAAGCTGTAGTAGATACTTTTAATCCATCCTTTTGTTCTTCTATCTTTTCAAACAAAATTTCTCTGATGTGGGATAACTACAAAACAAATATTTTCTCACAATTGTATATTCAATAGATATTATAAATAAGTCATATATTTGTATTGCTTGAAGATTTGAAATAAGGGCATTTTCATACAAGTAGCACTTTAAAGCATGCGAATTCCTATGTTTTCTATTTTCTAATCCACATTTTAAAATATACATTGTTCTCAAATGTCTGAAAACCTCAAGTCCAATATAGATTCTTTGAATAAACTGTCAATTTTCAAAGGATTGATCGTTTTACAGTCAGAGAGAGAGTGATGGAAATAACTACACCTACCTTCCTTGCGAACTGAGYTATATCGCAACGGGTTCTTCTGGTCGTTCAAAGAATTGTTTAAATTGCCGCATGGACATAGAGAGGTTTGAACAAGTACCCACAACAARAGAGTTAAAGACATTACTTCGCGTTTACAAGGATTCAGTKGGTGAAAACCTTTAGATCTCTAGATTTGTCYGTGCGCCGGCTATCACACTGACAGCTGAACTTATGCTCCATGCTAATGGGTCGCTAATATAGTTACCTCCTAGGTAGGTAGCCACTTGACGTTWTTCTATTACTTTTTTTTCTTTTAAATGAATTATTATTCTATTTCTTTATATTTATTTCAATGGCTGCCCTTTAGATTGTCATTTTTGTTGTTTTCATAACCTTCAAGTACCCTTTTCTAAAGGCGAAAACTAATCATATACAGGAAGTACTCTATAGCCCTTGACTAAATAATAGCCATAGCAAGAAGTAGTGTTAATGGACTGCGCAATATTTAGGGATGGTCCATTTAACTTTTGAGGGATGGGGGGGGGGTGATTTCTTGTGAGCAAGATTTTTTTTTCTTCGTGGCTTTTGGGTAGGATATATATTTTTTCTCTTGGTGGTGTGTAGGATTTTTTTTCTTCTTGCATG